CCCCCCCCCCCCCCCCCCCCGATTCGGGTCTTTTCTCCTACATCCATTCCCTGCGCAGAAAACTCCGGAAACACAGAACCGAATCTTGCAAACCCCTTTCAAGCCCACACTCCCCAAAAAAACCAAGCCCGGAACCCCGAAATTCCCCAAGTCCCTAAACCCTGCCTGGCCTTGAAGACTTCGTCCAGGAAAGCCACGTCTGCGGTGGGCAAGAAGCCTTCGACCTGCTAAACCAGCAATATTGGCCGGTTTTGATTTCGGGGTCTTGGGGTTTAGGGGCTTCAGTTTAGGACTTTAGGGGTATCGGCTAGAGGGTTTAGGATGTGTTCCCGCTTGCACTCGGACAAGTCCAGGCAACGTGTAAGTGTTTCCGAACAACAAGTGTCTTTCCCTCCTCTCCTCCATCGCTAGGTGAGGGAACACAAGAGTCCAGACACCCCTAAACCCCAAACCCTAAACGCTAAACCCTAAACCCAATTTTTTTCAGGAGAGCCCAGCGATGGGAGCTTTAAGGTGATTCAGGACCTTCGGCCCTGCACTCTCGCACTCGAAGCCTCAGGATGGGAAGATCACAACCTATGGGTTTAGGGGTATGATACAACTTTGCAGAAACTCATAAAAAGTGTTCTTCAAACCGTGATCGCGGACCCGAAGGAGGGGTTTCAACCAGCGCAGTCATGTAAAACAACGAACGCGCGATTCTTTCAACCTCGAACCCCTGAAACCTATTACATGCCTACCCGATATCGCCAACCACACGAAATGGATCCATAAACCCGAAACCTCCAAGCCCCGATCCCTAAGAGCCAATCTGGGACGAGCCTAAAAACCCTGGTCGTATCGCTCTCTTTTCAGGCCGAGAGGATCCCAGCGGTCCGGCCATCGGCGGCCGCGACGCGCGTCCGCGACACAACGAGGGTCTTCGGACCCGGATGGGCGCCTCAAAGTTGAAGATGCTTGGGTTGAAGGCTTACGGTTTAGAGTTTATGTCGGCACATAAGGCCGCTACATGGCTTGGCGGGTTTTACAGGCTTACTTGTGGCTCGGCGGTTGGGAGCTCCCAGCTTTACCGGAAGGGAGCCTGCGGCGCTGCTCTAGACCAGGGCGCCGTTCGGGGCTAAAGGGAAGCACGATTGAGAACAACCTCCATGTCCCCCGAAAAAGTCTCTGCTCCAGTAGTTCGGTGGCAAGGAGCCTGTTACCTAGAACATTGCTGCCGGAGGGATATGACAAAAGGATGGTGGGCCTTGTGGGCGCCAGATTCACTGTCACAGCTTGGGCATTCCTGGCGAAGATCCACCGTGTCCTTTAACAGCGACAGATGAAACAGCCCTTACATCCGAAAGTGGTCGATCTCAAAACAACTTGTGAGCCCAGTTTCAGTACCCCAATCCGTTTTCAACACCGAGGCACAGCCGTTGGAATCCACTGGTGCCACGACCAAACTCAGTTGCCTTGCCAGAACACACAGACGTCCAGTATCAAGGGAAGGTCGGCAACAAGAAGAAACAGCATGTCTGGCCGTGTGAAGCTTGAAAACGCATGTTGAATGGGAAGAACTGCTGCCCATCTGCGTTGGGCACCCCCACCCCAGCCACCCCAAAACTCTGAAACCCCCATGAAGGGGAACCCGAGAAACCAGAACCCTGTGACCTACATGCTTAATGCGCTGACCCCCCCTCCAAAGCCGCGCGGCCTGAGAACGCGCAGCTCCCGCTCGGGGGGCGCGCGACTAGGCCAACCATGGAAGCTGAGGGCGCAGGCCACTGCCTCCAACAGTTCCAAACGCTCTAAACTGGTAGTGAGGACTCTGAGAAGACTCTGAAGGTTTGCTTGAGGGAGCAAGATTTTCTGCTTCAGGATTTCAGGCACCAAGTCTCGAAAGTCTGCATGCTGGTTTGGGCTGCCGAGCTTGTCGGGGCTTGAACAGAACCAAGATCAGGGTCCAGGATTCCGGTGTAAAGTTCAGGCCTGAATCTTCAAGGGTCTAAGTCGAAAGGCTGAAGGTCGAGAGTTCGGGCTTAGGTTTGTTTTTGTCGGGTTGAGGGGGGCGGGCTCATATTCAAGGATGTTCAGGAAGGAATCATGGTTGGGGGGCTTCGGGGTTGAAGGAGTACAGCTCGGATTCGGTCCTGATCCAACACCTAGGTTGGACTGACGGTGAAGCTTTGGTAGAAATACTTGTAGCTATTGTCGTCGATAGACATGACCTGAAAGAAAATAAACAATCAGTCAAAGCCAAACCCCCATGTCAAAACCATGGCCCCGAAAAACCGAAAGTATCCAACACGGCCGGACTGCCAGAACCCCAAGAGCTGCACCTGCTTTTGCGTCGGGAAGGAGAGGACAGCTAGGGACGGCTGCAGCAAGATCACCTGTGAGTTCACAGCTCGCGGCAGATGAGTTGTTGCCAAGTTTCAGATCTTATCTTTGTGTTTAGCCTACAGTACGACCACGTCAACGCAAGCTTGCAATGAATCAAGCTCCACACGTAGAGTTCTTTGCGGCTTCACACAAGTATGCCGCAAAACCACTATTCACTGCACTTCTGGCTGCTTCACCTCCCCTTGTTTGGATCTAAACCTTGGCCCCACGCTCTAGGGCACCATCCCTCCAGTCCTCAACCCGAAGAGTCCGAAGCCGTTAAACCTTAAAGCCCGTAAGCCCGAAAACCCCAAGCCCTAAACCCTTAATCCTAAACCTTACGCCCCTAAGCCTTAAAACCCCAAGCCCGAAACCCTTAACCGTTAGACTTAACCCGAAACCGTAAGCCCTAAAACCCCAAGCCCTAAACCCTTAACTTTAAGCCCCTAAGCCCTAAAACCCCAAGCCCTAAACCCCAAACCCTAAACCTTAAGCCCTAAGCCCTAAAACCCCAAGCCCTAAACCCTCAACTTTAAGCCCCTAAGCCCTAAAACCCCAAGCCCTAAACCCTTAACCCTAAACCTTAAGCCCCCAAGCCCTAAAACTCCAAACCCCAAGCCCTAAACCCTTTAACCCCAAACTCTAAGCCCCTAAGCCCGAAAACCCCAAGCCCGAAGCCCTGAAGCTTGAAAGCCCTCTCAAAAAGAGACAGACAACGCTCAGACGAGAAAACCCCAAAATGAAGCAGAATATCTACGCACTGCGCCCTACGGCCCTGTCCACCCCGAAACCCCAAAAAAATCCTCCCGCCCTGGCGCATCGGATGCCTCCAGTTTTGGTGCTGCCCGATGCGAACTGGAGGCTGTTATCCCAGACGAAAGCACCACGTGCGCCGGGATTGATAATCAATCCAAAAAGGCATACGCGTTGCTGCAGTGGCAGACGTGCCTTATCACCCTAGACAATTACACCCCTAGTTCTTCGTATCGACCTGAGGCTAGGTGCTACTAGCTGCGTCTATTTTCTTCCTAGACCTCCTGGACTATAACTCATTTTGAAACAATAAAAAAACGAAAGTACCTCCTAGCTCTTGCATCTGCGACTGCTTGCAGCACCCCTAGGCCCTAGGCCCGCGCTTCTTTGGCACGTGGCCTAGAGGTCCGTGTGCTACACTTAGCAAGTTATGCTGCCTGGAGCCCAACCAACCACGCCACTTCTTTACAAGTTGGCGGGTGTGGTTGCGACCTCCAGGCAGCGGCTCCTCGAGACCTTTTGCAAAGTTCTCGAGACACTTGCCTCTCCCGGCCGGTCTGAAGCCAGTTTCCCTGACATGAAGAAAACAAAAACCGTCCAACCCCCCCGAGCCTGGTCGTACACCAGGTCTGGAGACCCACACCCCAGGCATTCGCAGTCGCCGTGAAGGAATTGGAGGGTCACGTTGGCAGGCGAGGATCCGGACGCAAGAAGAACAGCTGGACTGTCAAAAAGCACTGCAGGGGTCTTGGCAGAAACATGGACCACTCAGACTCACTACACACACATGCATCGGCAGCAGACCTAGACTTAGCTACAAGCTAGCAGCAGTGAGGAGGACACTTAGAACGAACGACGTGCTTCCAGGAAAAAAAGCTCAGCGACAACGCAAACAAGAAAACCGAGTCCCAGACGGCACGCGAAAACATAGATCGACATGCCCCGCAAACGGGGTCGCCTTTCTGCAGAGGCAGGCCGCGCCTGAGGCAGAGGAGAGGCAGAGGAAAGCAGCGCAAGACTGCGGAGACCTCTTCGTCTTGCCCAGAAGGCCTGACCAGGTGGCAGACTGTCTTGCAAAAGAGAAGATGCTGGAAGCAGGCCGACTGCCCGGATGATGTGGGCATCGCGCAGATTGCAGATGTCCTTGTTCTTCGTGCGCTTCTTGACGGCGCAAACCTACAAACCAAGTGGATGAAAAACAATGTCGGGCCTCTGCTCTGCGGCCTTGTTCTCGCAGGCATCGGTCTTGAAGAGCGGACCTCACGCAAGAGTCGTGGCAAGAAGCAAGGGTCCATGAGACGCAGTCGAAGCACGCAGGAGCTTTTGCAACTCCACGCGGTTCGCGAGCCACATCGCCTGCACAAGGCGAAAAGACAACCAATAACAGCTGACACCGTCCTGGGCCTGTACTCCGACGTGGACGTCGGCAGGCATGAGCTTGGCGAAGAGACGCTGCAAGGACTCTGCAGTAGGCCTCACGAGGCGACGGAACACCAGGACAGACTTGCACGCACAGAATAAGCTTCGCACATGGCCAGCAGCAGAAGTGGCCGTCGCTTGGAAGCAAAAAGGCTGCCGGTGGAATGTCGGAAAAAGAACTTCCGCTCGCAACGAGGACGGAGAGCGAGCGCAGCAGTCCGAACAGAAGTGTATAGTAGCGAGATAAGGCCACGCTCCCGGAGGACTCAAACCCAAAACCCTAAACCTTAAGCCCCTCAGCCCTAAAACACAAGCCCTAAACACTTAACCCTAAACCTTAATCCCCTACATTAAGCCCTAAATCCCCAAGCCCTAAACCCGAAACCCTAAACCTTAAGCCCCCAAGCCCGAAAACCCCAAGCCCTAAACCCTAACCCTAAACCTTAAGCCCCTAACCCCTAAAACCCCAAGCCCTAAACGCTTAACCCTAAACCTCACGCCCCCAAGCCCTAAAACCCATCCCTTCCCACTTCCTTAGAAAGCAGAAAGTATTCAGAGGTCTCCAATGCATGCCCACCGCCCTCCCTGCCCTCCGTTCCCTCCGCACCCCCCGCACCCACACCACCCCACACCAGCGGAAAGCACACCGATACCCACAGTGGCTTCGTCGCCTCCGTCCCCCCCGTGCCTCCCCTCATGCATGCCCTCCATTGCCTCAGCCCCAGGAAAGGCATCGAGCAAATCCTCGGCCAGGATCTCCGAGATTCGGCCTTTCCTGGGTGCGGTGAAGGCCAGGCTCAGGTGGGGCGTATCCAGGTTTGATAGTGTTTTCAGAATTCTTTATGGCGCTTCATAAGGCTGTTGTAATTATAGACGAGGGATATCGAACATAAGGAGAGGGATGGCCAGCGCAAGGCTTGCACAGTGTGAGAATTCAGTGGATACTGCGGATCCATTTTGTTGCTTCTCCAGTCCTTTATCCGATACTTTGCTGAAGCCCCATATCTTCCAACATGTGGACATGAGAGGTTGCTCCACTGATTTCGAGCAAAAGCCCAACCGCGGAAACGGAGAACAAACCAACCCTAGACCTTGACCCCTAATAAACCTGAACCCTGATTGAACCCCCCTAAACATTGAACCCTACAGAGTAAACCTGAATGCCCTTTGCCATTGAAGTCCCAAGATGTGGACTCTCCGAGTCCTGCCGAGGCACCCAGAGCGAAAGACCAAGCGCGCAAAAGACTTGCCTTACTTGGAGGCTCATGGGACTTCCCAAGCAGGCTGTACTTGGCTGCTTGGTCAGCACCTTATCCCGGCTGCATTTTCATCATTGTGTTCGTGTGGTAGCATACAGCACTACCATAAGAAGACCGACACAATGACACATAACTGTGGGGCTTGACCTTAAGAGTGATAGCCAGAGGAACGCTTAAAACCCAGGTTCGGGAGAATCACTGTGCTGCTCCGTCAAGTGCTCTAGGTCCCGGGCCTGCCACCTCTTCTGGTTCTTCAGCTGCCGACCGCTCCTCAAAAGCACCACGATGCTTGAGAACTCCCCACCATCATCACGACCACCATTAGTTTTGAGGATGCTTACATCCTAAGCCCTAAACTCCCTAAACTCTACATTCCTGTAGTCCACTCTGCCTCGCCCACAGCTTGCCCGTGCCGGCGCTCTAGGGCTCTTCGCTTCGCGGCCGCCCTGCTCTGCAGACGCCTGGTTTAGGGTCGAGGCTCAAGACAAAAGACTCCCACGCCCCTTTTCCTTAAGGGTTCAGAGGAAGGGGCGTGCCGAGCTTTGCCTTTTGTAGGGTTTCTGTGTCGTGTGTAAACCCCTCAAACTCAGCTTTACTAAGACCCTGAAGAACGCTTATCACTGGACAGCCTTAAGACCTTACATCCCTTTTCGTGGCCCCGTGCTTCAACCCATTTCGGCAGCCGTCATAGTCACCCTCAACTATATAGTAAGCCTTCATCGTCAACCCTATAGTAGTCTAAAACGTTTCCGTAAAAAACCCTCAACCCCAATTACACAGTCAGACCCCAAAGCCTAAAGAAACCCTTTTTCACAAGGGACTCGGCTGCTGCCCTTGCTGCCCTCAAACCCCTAACATACCAAATTAAGAACCTCGTGCATTCCCTTTCCTGCAGTCGTCGCCCTCCGCAGCCCGAACGGCCGCAGGCCGCCGAGGTGGGAGCTTTGCAGCTGGCGGGACCGCTCGGACCTGACATGACTCTAAGGGTTGGGGTTTAGGGTTTAGGGTTTAGGGTTCTAAAGTTTTCTTACAACTCGGGCTTGGGGTTCTTGAGGGGTTTAGCGAATCTTTCGCATAGAGGTTACCCAGACTGCAATCGTGTCTCCTGTCGCACATGCGTCCGTCTATGAACCCGTCCCTCTCCAGACTGTGGCCATGTCCGTGCCGCCTCGTCGTCGGAATCCAAGATTTCGACGACGTCAACTTGCTTGGCTTCCTTTGGCAGCTCCTGCGATGACGATGACGGGCAAATTTCCGCGAAGCTCACTTCGACAGAAAAGCGTCTGGTTGCGGGCTTAGGATCAAGGCCTGAAACTGTCTTTGGGGCTTTGTGCTTGAACTTCGGTTCAAGCCCTTCGAGCTGCAAGCGCGATGCCGTTCCTAAGCACGGCGAAATCTGGCGGCAGGGCAGCGTACGCTTGTCGGTCTTGTTGGGTCTTGAAAAAGTATTCCCACAGATCTCAAGCCCCACCAGCAGGTGAAAGCAGTGACTGAAAGGCAGCAGCACTTCGAAGGGTAAGCTTAAGCCTGATCACCATACACCAGACTGCATGGCGTGATTTAGCGGTGTGGCTCACAGCCTCAGCTCGAGACAGAAATCACAAGTATCCAGGGGCAGGATCAGGCCAGCCCAAGCCCTAAACCCTAAACCCGAACATGCAGCGAATGCAACGACCCTAAACCAAAGGATACCAAGATTAAAGCCATCCTTCTCTTCTTCTGCGGCTGGCGGATTCTGTGGCTTTATCCTGAAGATGGATCGTTTGGTGTCTTGGGGCTTCTGGTGGGGATAAAGGGTTTAGGATTTTGAACTTGGGGGTTTGGGCATGGGATTGGAACCTACGTTTCGGTGCTCAATGTGAAAGCAGGTATGCTTGGGGTCTAGAGTTGGTTTGGAGTAAGGAAGGGCAGCTCAGTTTCCTCTGCGAATAAGTTAAATGACCACAAACATTAAACAAAAACGTGTTAAAGACCCTAGACCCGAAAGCTAACAAACCACCATCTAAATTTAAGGGTTTAGGGCTCGAGGCTGTAATGAAAATCTACGTGGCTTTTTTGGTGCAGGCTTCAGGTGCCCAGGACTCACTGGATAGCAGGAAGATACCGGGATGAAACTGACGTGATGCTCGAAGGGAGCTTAGTTGCAAACGCTCGTCTGTTTTACAATACGTAGTCTATCCATGAGACTCGCGTTTTTCAGACATCACTGCAAACTGATCCGGCCCGTGTATAAATTAAGCATGTGGTCTTCAAAATCCCTGTCGAATAGCTCGGCCCTCATCTGAGCCCGCAAAGATCTAGGGCGACCTCAGGAAAGTGCGGCTACTTATGCTCAATCAGAGCCGTGCCCCCTCTGCAGACGCTGTGCTTCTTCTTTCTCGCGGGTTTGAACCGCATGGGCTTCACCTGCGGGGCAGAAGCCGCAAAACATCTTTACCCCCAGACTGCCCCCAGATGGACGAAAATGCATCTGCAAAGGCACCCGAGAGAACCTACCTACTGTCTATCCTGGACCTTTGAATATTTTGTCTGATGCTGCAGCTTGCACGCCCTGAACCTGCACGTCATGGCATCATCGTCATCCTCGGGACCTAGTGCCCTAGGAATGGGACGCAGAAGCCGAACCCCACACACAAGTAAACCTCAAGAAAGGCTAAACCCTAAACCCGATAACCCAAACCCCCGAAGCTACCTCAAAACTACAGACCGTAAGCCCAAAACCCTGCACCTTCTTTTGGGGCGGCACCGGGCCAGCGTGCCCTGCTGCCCGCCGCTGCTGGGCACGCCAGGCGGCGGAGGGCTTGAAGGGGGCAGAGATGCTGGAGGCGGCCGCTGCCTGCCAGAAAAGCTGGGGAAAGTCGAAAATGAGGGGCTTGTCCACGACATTTCGTGAGGCTAGGCACAACGCATGCAAGCGGGTTTTGAAAGTCTTCAAGCCTTCCTAGACTTCTGTCGAATTCCTCGGCACCTCTTCCCAAAACCTCCTGAAAAGTTGCTCTCCTTGCGCTTTCGCTCATCGCTGAGCAGATCGTACGCTGCACGGATGCGTTGGAAGCGCGCAGTTGCCAGGTGCGAGGGCACGGAGCGATCCTCTAGGGGCCAGGAAGGATTCTCGCACAGCTGCCTAAACCCTAAAACCTATCCGGTGCAAGGCTCAACCGGCAGGAGTTCCGAAGTACCTCCACGACGCTGCCTTAACGAAGCTTTCGGGCTCAGTGCCTGGCTCTGCCCTCTGGAAACGCCGAGAATCTCTCCGCTTTAAGCTGCCGGTAGTTTGAATTAGGGTTCCTTTTAGGGCTTTTTTTTTTATCAGGGTGCCGTACTGTGTTGGGGACCAAAAAAGGGGACCCGAATTTAGACAACTACGCACTAGACCCTCAACCCGAAACTCCCGGCTCCGTCCGCCGTCCGCCACCGCCCGGAGTCGGAGGCAAGAGCTCTAAACTCTCCAAAGCCAAACTGGAATCCTACCATGGGGTTACTATCGAGGCCTGGAGAAGGAGACTTGGGTTTATTCAAGTTTTAGAGTTGTAGTTACCTACGTATCACAACTTCGGCTAGTTAGCTAGTTGTCCCAGCAGCCCTCCTTGTTGCGCTCAACTGCAGCAGTCCTTGTCGGGATGATAGCGACGTGCTAGGCTGCGATACGCGCAGGTGATCTGCTCGGAGGATGCCGACTGCTTCAGGCCGAGGATGGCAAACGGGTCCTCGCTCAAGACTCTCACGCTTCGGGCCTGCTTTAAGGTTTAGATCACCCGCTAGGACTGCTAGGAACTCAGACCATCGACGGTTTGTGTGTAGGCTTGCTGGGATACTTGATTCCACGCTGTATGCTGAAAGCCAGCAGGTTCTCGCGGTGGCGAAGGACAAGACGGGCGGTAGGTTGTATAGATCTTGGCCTGTGGAGAAGCCGCACACCTACCCCAAGTCCACTCCTGGATAGAAGCTCGGCCGAGAAAATTGCCACGTCGAGCTGCCGGCGCTGCAGCAGGCCCTGGTAGGGTAGCAAGATTCAAGCATGTGGGTGCCTAGGCGACGCTTGTCGTAAACAATAAACAACCTTGAGCTGGAATAGACATGCTCCAAAAACCAGGAGCATAAATGGATGCATAGACGCAGAAGAGCTCGATTACCAACTGTTGAGACTCCGCTAGCACGAGGTGACGAGACAGACTGACACAACCAGAGAGCTTCTGTCCGGTTTGACCCGGACGTCAAGAACACTCGAAACTGAAGTTTTGAAGGCGATCGAGAGTTCATGGACGACCTCCTCATCAGAATACGGCCCAAGACGTTCAAGTCTCCCTCAAGCACCTCTGAACAGGAACAACTTCTTGGGCAACAGCTTTTGGATCCTGATCCCGATAACGGCTGATGAGTTTGGTGTTCGGGTCTATGATTTGCAGAATGACAGCAGAAGGCCAGGGCGAAGGGGTTTCTCTGTGCAGACTGCATAGGAAAAGGAAGGTCGTCCTGGCCCAACGCTCTCTGCACGGCTTCCAAGCCAAAATCTCCGAAATCTTAGGGCACACTACATCAGGGCATGCAGGTTTCAACTTTCTACAACCCTTATGCGACGGCAATTCTCAAAAATGCGCCCTTTGCTTGGTCCGTTTGATACTGTATTTATTCCTGTTGTGCGAAAGTAACAGCCTTAAAGGAAACGGCGATTTTTCAACAGATGTACTGGTTAAAATATTGTTAGATAGATAAAGATAAAGAAACAAACTGATTTCGAGATTGAGATTAACTTATTTCTTCTTAGTCCCCGCCTCCGTCGCCGATGCGGGCCATGGGCAGGCCGCCCACTAAGCAGATGCAGCATCAGAGCGATCAGCTGCACGAAGGTGCATAAGGTTTATGATCCATTAGAGGCTAAAGCTTCAAGTTTTTTGTGCTTAGAAGGCCTCGGCGCTTACAACTTTGGTCTAGGGCCTAGGGTTTAAAACTAAGGGATTGTTTAGTGTCATGCCTTCCTGTTTGCCGACAGGATGATAGATGACCTTACCCTGACCGGCTTGTGTCGCTGGTGCTTCAGTTTCTCTTTCAAGGCTATGAATTCGACGACTTTGAAGCTGTGCTTCAAGGGCGCTGTGCCTGTCCTGACTGAGCAACACTCTCGAGACGGGCAGCGATTGCAGGCAAACTCAGCCCCAAAACCCGACAGCTACAATTCTGAAACTCCCTAATTTCTCTGAAGCTTGAGCTCTGCCTACTCAAACGAGAAAGCCTTGCATGGTGTCTAAATACAGAGCTCCCCAAGTAACAAGCATCACTACATACATGATGACGAAGACCATGTTCAAAGGCGGTGGCGACACTATCACACATCGTGCCGGCTATAGCCACGGCACCAGCAGAAATGACAATAAAAATGTTATGGTGGAAACCATGACAAACCAAATACTGAAATCACAATAGTCATAAGCAGGAAATGTCAAGAGTCATATGCGTCTCACGGGATTCCTGACTGAGAGACCTAGCTCATCCTAGCTCTAACCCCGCATCTCGGCGCCTTCCGTCGAAGCTCGTCGTTCTCCAGGGCGCGGAGTGACAAGGGGCCAAAGATCTGTCCGGCGATGGGACGTCATACCGCATCTGAAACCCATAAAACCCTAAATTCCTAAATTACCCCTTTTCACAACCTACAACGTGCTTACAAAAATTGCCTCTTAAACTGAATGCCAGCTAGGAAGAGAACCCCAAGATGCCCCAAGCATCAAGGTTAGGCACAAGCTTCGCGCTTTCATTGCTACCCAACCTGCGCATCTGCTGCGAGCCTGACACTCAGACTGCCGACCCCGCCGTACATAGGTTATGTCACTGAGCACTCTAAGCTCGAGGAACGGGAGCGGCCCCACTTGCATCTGCAACCAACCTCTGTGCAAAAAAACATTGAATCCCCACACCCTTCAAAGCCAACCCCGACACTTCAACGTCAGGCAACAGCATGGAAGGCATCCCTGCTGCCTCCTCTGGCACCGAAAACCTGTCCGGTCAGAGGACTTTGGGGTTCACGAGCGAGTTTTTGCTTCAAGGGCGCGCCTCTTACAAAAGGGTCCCCTCCCTGAGTCCCTTCAATGTAAGCGGAACAATTCGGGGGGAGGGCAAAAGTTAAAGTTGGAAAGTCCACTGACCGCAAAAACGATAGCCAGCTTCAACACGAATCTCTAAGTGCTATGAGACACACATCCGACCGCCAGAGGACTATGCACAAGGCCTGAAGCTGAAGTTCACAAACCAACCCAAACCCTTCAATCCGAAGCTCTACACCCACCCTACACTCCTGAAGCTAAACCTCGGAGCCCGAAACTCCTAAGCCCAAAACCTTAAGCCCTAAGATGCCCAGCGCACCTCGTGAGCAGCCGCTCGAAGAACTCGCCGCGGCAGACCGTGGCGAGGCGCCGGGCCAAGAGACTCTTGGCCTCGATGGTAATAAAATATATAATATATAATAATATGATATAAAAATAATAATCATAATAGTAATAATATTAATAATAGCAATAATAATAACAATAAAAATACTAATAATAATAATAATTTTCATGAGTCGCTGAGAGCTTTGAGCATTTTTTTCCCCCTCGCAGGGCTAGGGTATCAATGCCTACAGGTTAGGGTTTTGGGGTCTATGGTTTAGGGGTTTAGGTGAGTCGCTGAGGCTTTAATAAGGTGAAGCTTCCAGTTTTGGGGTATCTAGTTCAGGGGTTTGGTGAGTCGCTGAGGCTTCTGAAGGTATAGTACTCGCTGAGGCTTCTTTGGGTATAATAACTGGTTCTGGGCGCGTGGGGCGTGCGGCTTAAAGTTTACGTAGGAAGCGTAGGATAATTTGAAGGTCTAGGGGCAGGAGATTACATTCAAGAGCTTCGGGGATAAGAGCTAGAGGTTTGGAAGTTTATGGTTTATGGTTGCACTAGGACGCGCCTCCAACTGCTCAAAGACGGATGCTTGAAACCCTGCGTGCCAGGCCTCCAAGCTGCGACTCGAAAAAAACAACAGAAGGCTGCGAAAGAATCTATGTAGGCATGCACAACAAACCCCGATCAAGAGTTGCGGCGGCCACGAGACGCGAACCCCGAGCCAGGCCCCTAAACCCCTCGACCCAGCAAACCACACTCTTGATCTGCTCTTGATCTGCAGGAAGCGTCAACTCACAAGCCTTGAAGACAACGAAAACCCAAAGCCTGACTTACCGGGCTTCCCGTCCGTGCCCGGAGGGCCCAGGAGGAAGAGGTGCTCACCACCTGAGGGAAGTGCCGCTAAGCCGAAAAGGCTGTCGTCAAGGTAGGGAGGGGACGAGGGCCTAGCAGACTTGAGTGCCGGAAGCTTTCACACCCTGTGTGCGACCATGGCTTATCAAAAATTGGAGCCATGGGCAGCCACTTTGACAAATGTGTCTTATCATTCCGATATATCTCTCGAGATCTTCGACAAAAGTGCGCCCATGCCTCGCCAAGATCTGCGTCGAGGCTTTGAGGTTTCGGAATGAAGGGATGTCAACTGCACAGGTGGATTCGACACCTGTGCAAGCACGCATGGTCATGAAATGACAACGCAAATGTGGAATTGCACGTATACATGCATGGGACATGTACGAATGAGGGCATACACAGTAAAGTTATTACTTCATGTCTACATAGCTACATACATGTAAAAGCCAAGAGAGTGAGGGCGTGCACAGATTCGGTCATAAATACGTTCATGGCGTGCAAGGTCGGGGGAGGTAATGTGAGACTGTTGCGAGGATGCAAGCAACATCATCTCAGGAGCAGAAGGCCATGGTCAAAACCTGTGTAGACATCCTGCCTCAGGCTCTGGGAAAGCTGAGAGCTCAACTCAGAGCTGCGAGGAGAAGCAGCTTCGCCTGCTGCCGGTTCACTCGAAATTCCAAGTAGTACTCGGTACAGCAGTACAATCGACAACGACTTCACGCTCCCGTTCACATCAACGGATACGACTAAATGTGTACAACGATTACTTCTATGACACGAGGTAACAACGAAGAGCAGCATCTAACGACAGAAGCATTTGTGCCACTGATGTAATTAGACAGGGTTTTAACAAATCCATACGAGTATCAAGGAAATCAGGGACGAGTCTATCTGACAGTTGTGGCCGTAGATGCTGGCAGCTCGTCTCGCCGACCAGTCCTGGCTTGAGGCCTTAAAGAGGTGATAACCCAACATACTACACTACTAAACGTACAAAACACTTCGGCGAGTAGAGCTGCGCATCTGGCGCAGGACGGCCTCGACCGTCCTCTCTACCAGGCCCTCCGTCAAGGTCTCAAAGGCCTGAGACCTGAAGCAGGGCAAATTCTCACGGCTACTGTCATGCTTGTCTGTTGTCACAACTGTTATTGTGCTGTTTGCTGCCGTTTTGTGATTTCACCCTGCTGCGATTCTGATTATGATGTCTCCCCGTTCTGTTGCGACGATATGCCAGTACTAGCCACAGTCTCATTGTGGCACTGCCCTTACTGTCCGTGTTTTGCTGGATTCAGGCTGTCCACACTGTTATAACGATGATTCAGTGCAATACTACGATTCTGACACTGTTCCTGCTCTAGCATATTTGCGAGATGCTGGCTTGAAAAGCAGCGCCATTATCAGCAGCATTATCTTCATCGTCATCATCCTAAGTCTCTCATGTTCTTCATGGTGTGGAACAGTTCATGGAGGATCTTCCAAAACGCCGCGCGCTCAGGAAATGGGTGAGGTCTTGGTTTTGCAGTTCGGGTCAGTTCCGTCTTTCTAAGAGGCCGTGACGGCAAAACCCTCATACCGTAACCCAAACCTTGAAACCCGAACCCTCCCTGTTACAACCAAGGACTGAGCGCAAGCCACTGAACTCTCTCCAACACTGTCTAGCCGGGTTCCGGAGGTGCCGAGGGCAGCACAGCCGAGCAGCCAAAGGCGACATCGCGGAGTCCTTGGACTCCTCCGGTGCGCGACAGGCTGCCATCAAAAGCGCAGCTTAACCCGCCCAGCAGGGTCGATATTGCACTCCATGTTATTAGTGCCGGATGCATTGAAACAGTGCAGCGCCAAGGTGACACTCAACAGCCATCTTCGGGTTGTCAATTGAATCCCCACCCCCTGCCCTTGACGGGCATAGAAGAGCCTCGGGTGAAGAGGCGGCCGACTGCACGCTGGCCCTCTTCAGCCTCAGACGACTCGGGATGGCTTGGAACGGCGGAGGGAGCGGGCTGGGCAACGGCTTCGGTGAATTGAGAGGTGTCTGCATGGGCGTTGTGGTGTCGCCTTTGGTGCTCTCCACTGGAGACAAAGGTCGGTATAACAGTTGAGGTCGCAGGGCTCTTCTTCGCAGTTTGGCAATGCACTGTCTTCGCGGACCGTTGGTTGCTCCATCCTTGCATCGGAACTCGACTCCGCAGGGTCCTCGTTTCGCAGGCGACTCCGCACGCCCATGCAGCAACCTTGACTGGCCTCTGGATCGGAACGTCCGGGCTTAGTGTCCTTGTCTTAAAACGTCTTAATACTACGGCTACACCTCTTCACACCACGGTCATGCACAAGCCAACGGAATTCCGCACTCGCGTTTTATAAACACTCGGCTTGTCAGGAACCGTCTGAAAGAACCTGAGATCGAATTCTGCATGCTCCAGTACCTCTGGGTCCGCCCACTCGGCGATCTTGTTCGCTGCCTTAGGGACTCTGTTTGCCGCCTTGAACTCGGAGACTGTCTTTTTGTCGGGAGTCGGGGCGAGGATTGTGCACAAGCAGTTCCGTCAAGCATCTGGATTTGCTGTCGGTGTTCGTTGGTCCAACTTGCTTAGTATAGTAGACCATCGGCACGGAGCTCCCTTCTGCCATTCATTCGTGCTCACAACGACCGCAATCTGATTCAAGGAGGGCCATATCCCCTTTGTACATGTACATTCCTTCCTTCACACCTCGCCAGACTGGACACTGAGGCCCCGGGCATTTAAGCGCACGATCGCCAAAGCACCCTGCCTCATCAAGAGAACGAAGGTCTGGCAATGCTTCCCTTCCATCGAAGCTTCCGTCCGAGTTTCTCCAAGAGCAATCTCGACAAGAGCATCTTCAAGAAATGAACCGAGATAATCTTGCAGCCAATCAGATGCGAATAAATCACATGACGTGGATAAGCTTCTGACAAAGTCTGCAGCACTCTCCGGCGGACTTCCTCGCGGTCTTGGTCGAAGTGGTCGAGCCTCTGCTTCAATAGCACATCTTGAAATTGAATCGGCAAGTGACACGAAGATGCGACCCACCAAAAGACAGTGTACTGCCTTCTCCTACCGAAACTGAAGCCTGTCGTTCGGCAACAGCCCAGACTCCAACAGCAACTGGAATCACACACCGAAGTCGGGCCGAGAGCTACATCCAACATCCCCCGTTCCACACCCTGTGGGCCTGTGTAAACATGGTTGTATAACTCTGCTCTCATCGCTTGGCAAGCCGAGGTGCAGCCAATGCGACTCGCCCTGCTCCTCTTTCCTCGGAAAATATGCGTGCATGTATTCTTGTACGGTCTTGTGCGCCTTTCCGCCTGTGCATGCGTAAACATACCCATACAGGGACACATCTTTACATACGTACTTCCCAGATACCTGTTGGCATGCAGGCATGGGGCACACATGCAGATGTGTGCATGCACTTGGGCTCCCTGTGTGTTTATATACCTACTGCCCTGTGATCGGGTTCAGAAGCGCAGGGCATCACCGCAGATGAGCTGGGCGCCGCAAGAGATCCCAAAGTTCCAGCTAAGTGTCAGCAGAGCCAGGAGAAGATGGGCAGGCTCCACTGCCTCGCACAGCTCAGCTTGCAAAGGGCGGCAACCGTGGGGACCTATGAGGGGTTGTTGGAGAGTCGGGCTTCTGGGCTGGACTTTTGGTTCTCCACAAAGAGAATGTTCGGAGCCGTCCCAAAAGCTTCTGAAACTGATGGTCGACACCACGGTTTTTGCGACTGCATGCGACTGCGGACGCTTCTTCCCTCAGTTTCGTGGGCTTCGGATTGACGACTCAAGCCGAGATCTTCAAAATTTTGGAAAAGCTCAGGTCGCCTGGTGGCCCAGGAGGGTCTTCTCCTCCTCTGCATGCCGCACTACGCGGCGCGTCATTGGCCTCAGCCGCCGTAGTCAGGTGTGTAGAAACTACTATGCCTAACGTGCTTGCCTACTTCGTTCTCAACAACCTCGCACAAGCTCGAAGACGAATTTGTAAGGGTTCCAAGCGACTTGCAGAGAGCTCCGATGTTGTGGTGAAACCCATATGGCTTGAACACGTCTTATCTTGAGCTTCGCGCCATTGACACCTAAAGCCTAAACCCTAAACTCCAAACCTACACCCGAACCCTGAGCGGCCCTAAACCCACAACCCTAAAGCCTCTCTCTCTCAGGTGCTCGAAACGTCAAACCGACAACCCCAAAGCCTCAAACCTAAATCCCAAACCGAAACGAGATGCCCACAACAGCATCCTAAGGATTTAATTTGTGCATTGAGGACGGTCAAACTTGGCGCCTGGCGTGAAGACCAGAGGTCCGCCGCTGGGTGGCGCACCTGCTTTAGGTGTAGTTCGCCTAACATTGCCGAACTCACACAAGAACTCTGCTGGGGCGAAATTAGGTGTACATAGCCAAGCTCGCAAGAGGACATGTCCGTATGACAAAGTTCCAGCCAACTGTTACAGTTCGAATGTGTCCTACATCTGGGACCTCTGAAGGGCCCCCGGTGAATCGTCGAGAGCATGTGCAACGCGCGTGCAAACAAGGAACGTTGACTTGGTGAGAAAGCACAATTTCAAAACTACGGGCCAGGAATCGTGTTGAGACCAGGCCCAAAACCACTGACTAAATCTAGTTCATCCGAGAGTCAAGACGTCTGCACAATTTTAATGAGCACTGTGGATCTGAGCCGACTCAGATTTCCTGAAGCTCTCGGCTAACGTTAGCGAATCCAAGAGCCCGAGCACTTAATTAAACAAACTCCTTTTTGAGTAAGATTTTCCTAAATCCTCCCCCGGCCGCCTTTGGAGCCACCAGTTCTCTGAGTCACCTGAGAGGATGGAACTTATCGAGCTTCGGGTGCGGGATTTACTTTTTTAAGGCTTAGGGTTTGGGCGTTGTTGGAGTTCTGCACCCGCTCCCTCGCCGGAAGGCCTTGGCAAACAGAAGTTAACAGCGGTATCGGCCTTGCACCCTAAGGAAATTAGACGGTTCCTTGAATTGCACCGACGTGACATGGATTTGGCCTGAAAGGTCATCAACTAATGCACGGCACGCGATGCCCTGAACACTGGGGCCACGGCATACGCTGCCACGGCAGAAGCTTCAATGCCTTGAGCAGCATTATAATGGCATCACAAACCCTCGACATCCCTGAGCCCCTGAAAACACTACGATGACTGCAATGGCCGAGATGTGGCGGGGTGGAATCGGAGTACATGGGCGGAGAAACT